GGGTTTAGTTTAAGTTGCCGACACTGACAAGTCGTTGACAAGTTATTGTTTTTATAAAATGTACGCTTCATAATAGTACTACCATAAGGCACATCTTGCGCCAACGTATGAAGGATTTTTGGTATTCTGAGGATGAATCACGTAAGTCAACATGCTTCAACATGCTTGCTTCGAAAGGAGATATTTGTAAACATGCGTAATAGATGCTAAATGTGTCTGGCATGTTTTTCATCACCAGCAGAGTTTCTTAATTAACGAATGGTAACTCCTGAACGCGAGCTGCAGTGATGTTATTACAGTCCCTCTATTTTTCTTGCTTCCTCCCAAACCTCCCCCGCCCCCTCACTACGTTTTGACACTCATGCAAGAAAGCAGCCCGTAACGCAAAGAGCTCGATCTCAACGATCTTACAGAAAAATAGAGGACTGTGAACAGTCTAAGGAATTTTCTACAAATTTTTTTTCTGACGATGTTACATTATGCTAATGAGGTTAAAGCTAATTAGCATAATGAAATTCAACACCTCGTGGTTTCAGTGGTTTGGTGTTTACCTTCAAAAGACGCTTCATTTTTTAGTTTTTTTTTAACGAAATATCGGGTTAAAAACTAGCAAACATGAATTTACTGATAGAATTCATCAAAATAAACAAGACTTTGAAGGCAAAAAAGCTAAGGGGGAAGGAATTCCTCGCGTTTGAAGAGTACCAAAGAGTATGTGTGGAAGACATAACCGGCTCAGCGAATTGGACGCAAAGATTCTCTATACTGTTTTCTTACCTCGATTTTCTCTTCTTATCCGCCAGAATCCTTCAAAATAATTTGCTTCACTTGTATTTGGTCAAAATTCGTCGATACAAGCTTTCAGTCTTTGCAAAACCCGCAACAAACTCCTTGCCGCATTTCTCAGTTTTCAAAAAATGGTAGAACCAACTGGGGTCTGGGACTAGCCAAATCTATTTGTGCGCCAAATTTGGAGACAACAGGAAGTAACGCAAAGTTTGGCTAATATATTTCGTTGTAGGCCCTGAAGCTCCTATATTTACACGACCGGGAGACAATTTATGAGACTCAATATGATTTGTAAGGCAGCGAAGAAATAATAATTACATCACTACAAACTGCATCATGTCCAGATGGATGTTACTAAGTATTTAGCTCTTTTTACGAAAGATATCATTGGTTCGTGTGCATCCCGGGGGGGGGAGGGGGGTACTCCCATACATTACCTATACGGGTATGTGCCGCCCTACGGGGTCGTGATTTTAAAGCTCCTGATTTAGAACGGGGTATCCATTTCAGAGGCGTTTCTAGAACGGGGTATAAAAAATCCGGGGGGGGGAGGGGGGTACTCCCATACATTACCTATACGGGTATGTGCCGCCCTACGGGGTCGTGATTTTGAAGCTCCTGATTTAGAACGGGGTATCCATTTCAGAGGCGTTTCTAGAACGGGGTATAAAAAATTGTGGATCACGGCTTTATCTTCTACTTAAAATTGTTGCTGATTATGAAGAAGCATTTATTTGATGTGTAAGCCGATCAAATAAAGAGATATCTTTTAAAAAAAAAAACAGGGCTATTTCAATTTACGAACTTTCTAGAACGGAGTATAAAAAATTGGCCCATTTCTAGAATGGGGTATCAATTTTAGGGGAATTTTTTTTTAAAACGGGGTGCCAATTTGGAGTCCTGGGCGGCACATACCCACGCAAAAAATACCCAAGTACCCCCCCCCCCGGGTGTGCATGCACTAGCCAAAATAGGCTTAGACTTTCGTTCTTCCTTTATAATTATCAAATCTTAACTTTGATTCTGCGTTACAATTCTACATGACTTGGATACATGTATTAGACTACAAAAATGTCATTTTCACATAATCGAAACATCTGCATTTTTTTCAAAGTTTGGTCAAAAATGCGAAATTTCTTTCGAGTCTGTTTTTCTTTGAAAAATGTCTAAACATGTATTTTTATGATGTTGTGTATAGAAAAGGAAGCTTTTTAGACCAAAAAATGTCATTTTCACATAGTCGAAAACTTTGAGTTATGTGATGTTGTAGTATGAAAAAGAAAACTTTTTAGACTTTAAAAATGTCATTTTCACATAGTCGGAAAATTTCCATTTTTCCAAAGGGGTTAACCCATGATTTTGGGCAAAAATTAAAAGTTTCTTTCCTGTCTGCTTTCTTTTGAAAAAGGCCTGGATATGTATTTTTATAATTTTTTTTTATAAAAAGAAGGCTTTTTAAACTATAAAAATACCATTTTCAGATAGTCGAAAAATTTGCATTTTTAGATTATTATCGATACGTCTGGAATACTGTCCTCTCCACTCGGGAACAGAAGGTCAAATTGTCCAAGTGCCCAACTACCCCTCGCAGAAATTAGACGATCAGATGATAAGGTTTTCTAGGATTTCGTAGTTGGAATATTCAAAGGACATCTGAATTCACATCTCCTCAGGGGCGGAACTTTCGCAACTCAGTAGGGACGTGATTAGTCCTATGCTTGTGAGTTTTCCACCTGAGATCTGAAACTAGAGGGGCTATGTCTCGCTGTTTGTTATCATTTTAAAAAGCTAAAACTCTAAAACTCTTTTAGACAAGAGTAGCTGATAAGCTAGTAAAACAACAAAAGGATAGTATTACAGTTTTATTTGCACTGTCGCTTCATTTTTATAAAATATATTTTTCCGTTACTCTTTCCTATTTTATAATGTAAAAGGCAATACTACTTTGTTTAAATTACAGAATGACGTGTTCATATTAAGATCAAATTAAAATTCACTTTGTTCAAATGAAAACAAGAAGAAAAAGAAATCTAATCTAGTTCTATTGCTACCTTTGATTTAATCATGTGTTAATTTTCAAACACTCTAGAAGAAAATGAGCTAGAAAACGCCCTTCGATGAAAGAAAACTAAATCAACGCCTTCTTGTGAAGTAGAATTTATGTATGGTCAAGAGCCATAATAGGGTTAACCCACGATTTAGGTCCAACAGTAAAAGCATTTTTTTTTTTGTCAAAATAAGCCAAAAAATGAGTTCCTTGGTGTTCTAAACAAAAAGAAACCTTTTTAGACTACAAAAATGGGAACCTTTCATAAGGCCAAAAATCCCAATCTTCCAAAAGGGTTAACCCACGATTTTGGTCAAAAAATTCAAATTTTTTATTTATTTATTTTTCGTCAAAATAAGCTTACACATAGAGTTTCTTGGTGTTCAGAAATAAAAAGGAAACTTTTTTGAACCGCTAAAATGGAAAATTTTCATAAGGCCAAACTTGGCAATTTTCCAAAGGGGTTAATCCATGATTTTGATCAAAAATTCAAAAATTTTCTTTATTTGTTTTTCCCCAAAATAATCTTAAAAATAGATTTTCTTCATGTTCTAAATAAAAAGGAAACATTTTTAGACCACAAAAATGCTCACTTTTCATAAGGCCAAAAATCGCAGTTTTTCAAAGGGGTTAACGCACGGTTTTGGTCAAAAAAATTCCAAAAAATTGTATTTGATTTTTCTTAAAATAAGCTTAAAAAAAGAGTGTCTTCATGTTAGTAAACAAAAAAGAAACCTTTTTAGACCACAAAATGGGATCTTTTTATAGGGCCAAAATTCGCAATTTTCCAAAGGGTTTAACCCACGATTTGGTCAAAAATATCTAAAATTTTTCTTGTTTGTTTTTTTTTTGCCAAAAAAAAGCTTTAAAATAGAGTTTCTTGATGTCCTAAATACAAAGGAAACCTTTTTAGGCTACAAAATAGGAAGTTTTCATAAGGCCAAAAATCGCAATTTTCCAAAGGGGTTAACCCACGATTTTGGTCAAAAAATTCCAACAAATTTGTCTTTGCTTTTTCTCAAAATACGCTTAAAAAAGAGTTTCTTTATATTCTGAACAAAACAGAAACCTTTTTAGACCGCAAAAATGGGATTTTTTCATAAGGCCAAAAATCGCAATTTTTCTAAGGGTTAACCAGCGATTTTAGTCCAAAAAATTCCACACCATTTTTATTTGCTTTTTCTCAAAATACCCTTAAAAATAGAGTTTCTTTATGTTCTAAACAAAAAAACAAAAACATTTTTAGACCCTGACAATAGTGGGATCTTTTCATAAGGCCAAAAACCGCAATTTTCAAAAGGGGTTAGCCCACGACTTTTGTCAAAAATTTAAAATTTTTCATTGTTTATTTTTTATTTAAAAAAAGCTTGAAAATAGAGTTTCTTGATGTTATAAATAAAAAGGAAACCTCTTTAGACCACAAAAATGGGACGTTTTCATAAGGCAAAAAATTGCAATTTTCTAAAGGGGTTAACCCATGACAAATTTTTTTTTGCCAAAATAAGCTTAAAAATAGAGTTTATTCATGATCTAGAGTATTAAAATGGGAACTTTTCATAAGGCCAAAAATTCCAATTTTTCAAAGAGGGTCTACATAAAAAAGAAACCTTTTAAACTTTGTTCGACTATAAAAAATGGGAACCTGTCATAAGGCCAAAAATTCCAATTTTCGAACTGGTTAACCCTTGATTTTGGTCAGAAATTTCCAATTTTTTTAAAAAGTTAATTTAGGATGGTGACTTTGTAAAATCGATATTTTTATCGTCTAAAAAGCCTCTTATTAAAGTGGAACAATGCCGAACGTTTCTTAGGGGCTATCTTACCCAAAAACAGAACAGCAAGAAATTTTAAATTTTTGCCGAAATCACAACTTATTTTAAAACCCCTTTAAAAGGATCCAATGTGACCATTCGATATTTTTATAGTCTGGCCAGGCTTGTTTTCGATTTTATTTAAAACATAAACCACTTTATTTCTAGACTTTCTAGGCTTTTTATCATGTAGCTCAAATACAAGAAGTAAAAAAAAAAAGGATTTCACCGCTTTTTCGCGGACAGACTTCAGACCTCAGATTTCTTCAAGCATATTTTCGTAATAAATGCTTTGCGGTCGTAGGACGAACACATATTTTTCTTACACGAAGTACAAAGCGAGGTTTACCAACATGGCGGCCTCGAAGCACGAAATCAATTTCCGTCGCCTTTTGGAACGCTGCGAAGCGATGGCTTCAGAAATCCAGGAGAATAAAGAAAACGTAAGCTGGAGGTTGGAAAAAGTGAGTTATAGCATTCATCAAAAAATTGTTTTTTTACTGTTACCTCCGTAGGATTTGAACAAACTGTCGACCACAGCTGTCTGGTCGGGTTTGTAACGATTTTTCACCGTTTTTCTACTCCATATTGCAGTATGTTTTAACGTTACAGAGGCAAGCTGCCGAACTAAAAAAGTCAGAAAGGTTAGTTTTTAAATGCAGACTAATAAGATAAAAGTTATACGAGCAATACGTCAATGTAAAATAGTGCTTTTAAATAATACGCTTAAAACAGCTGATACAGGTAGTCTCTACTCTGACGGGTCTTTATGTCGGGTCGATTGTATTTATTATTGATATTTTAGTCATCGCATTAGAGCTTTTTCATCAGTACCTGACCCAGTTAAATAACGGAGAAAAAAAGTCTTTTCATATTAAAGGAAAAAAATTCAACGTCTTGGTATACCGACAATGGACATACATGTAGCTAGTTCATCATTTAATTTTGGTACCCTAATAAGGCGGACCAAAGTAGACCTGTATCATAAAAATGCGCTGTAATGACAGAAGCTAATTAATTGATATCAACTAATCTGGCAATAGAAGCCAGACCCACATGCACATTTCTCCTGTTACCGTATGTGTGTTGTTAACTGTTAAACTTTCATCAAATAAAAGTGAACGTCTCTTTTACAGTGCAGTAAGGTTATCCATAACCTGGATAGGAGGGGACTCCAGCCTTGAAAATAACTTTTTTTGACCCTGTTGGCTTCAGTTTGGTGTAAAATCAAGGTGGGGGCCCTCACCCCTTGGCACCTTCTCCTAGATGCACCAGTGTTTAGCCTGCAATCAAACTGTCAATAAAGAAAGAAACTCACTGGTGTCGTTGTAGATTCACTTTTTTCTTATTACATTTACTAGCTATGTGATAGAAACCACTGTTAAGTGGACATTCATAGTTGACTGATCTATGAGGTTCATTTGTCTATCAGTAGCGTAGACATTTCCCGTTGGTTGTCTGTATGTCAGTTTTTCAACATTCTGAAAGGCAGATGACTTGTGTCTCTAACGTACTGTAGACATCAGTGGTCAGGGATGTAGATAATAGCTGGGAGCTGGGAAAAATACATGGCTGTCAACATAATTTTTCAGGCTGAAAAAAATGCATTCTTTAAAAAGGCAACTGTTTTCCTCTTATATTATCTGCCCATCAAATGCCATTTCCCATCGGTTATAAATTTAAGCTACATCCCTGGTGGTTGGCTGGTATCAGCTTCCGAGTTTCACTTTTTTGTCACTCTGTAGCTAAACTTTCTTCAATTCAGAGTAAACATTCTTATGGTGAAAAAAACTCTAATGAAGATTCTGGAGGTTGGCTGATTTTTCACATCACCAATAAGTTAGTGTAGCTAGCATTTCAGGCCATGCCTCTTATGATTAAAGAAGTGTACCTTTTCAAAAACTGGGAAATCAAAATATTTTGGTTCCATAAGCTTGTTGAGTCACATGTAACATACATTTTTTGAAATAATCAAAAGGTTAAATTTTAAGTTTTTTTCCCCATTTACTTGAAGTAATCAAAACATTAAAATAATATTAAGTATGTTTTATCTTGTTACAGCAAACCAAGTCCAGATGCAATGACTGAATACAACAAGAAAGTAGAATTCCTTAAAGGTTTAATAGAAACACAGAAAATGGTGAGACAGGGATCAGTGTTTTGAAACCTTATTTTGATTATAGCTCCGAAGTCTGGGGATGTATGGGAAAAGGCCTGTGTGACCGACTCCAGAGATTGCAAAATAGGGCTGGGAGAATTATAACATTTAGTGATTATAATACAAGATCTGCAGATATCCTCCAAGACTTGAGATGGGATACCCTTGAGCAAAGACAGTCTAAACAGCTCGCAATAAGTGTTTTTAAATCTCTTTACCCTGAGAGTTTAAAGAACATGTTTAAACCAACCTCCGGGGTTCATTCCTACAACGTGCGAGGTGCCTCGAGCAACATTTTTGTACCAAGGCCCCGTACTGAAGCTGCTAAGAGGGCCTTTAGCTATAGGGGAGCAGTCATGTGGAATGGCCTAGAAAATGTGCTTAAAGACGAGATAAATCTCAACTCTTTCAAGTCTGCCCTATCTTTGTCTTGAACCAGGGATTGCCTTGAGGGAGTTGAGATAGAATTTTATTTTTGTTATTTAATGTACCTTTAAGGTTGATTGATTTTTGTGTAATTAATTATAGAATAGATTTTCTTAATATATAGATATATTTTAGCATTAATGTAGTTTCTCTGAAAATTTTGTTATGTAAACGGCTCACTGGAAGAGCATTTTTAATGAAGTGATACCGTTAATAAAGCTTTATTGATTGATTGATTTGATTGATCTTAAGATGCGCATCTGTTGTTACATTCAAATAGAAAAAATTATTGTTTGGGAACAACTAGGAAATGCTTGTCATCAGAGAATGTATAACAATACATTGTATATCATTTGTGTGTTAAGTATTTTACCGTTGGTTGCATCTAAGCGTGGACATGACGTGTTTTGCTGCCAAACATTTGAAGTTTGACAGTTGTTAAAGCAAACTATCACGCCAAAGGTAAGTTGTTTACATGGTCTTGATTGCTGCGTTACGCTCATATTCAATTTACGTTTACACATGACCTTCCAAACATTGTCAGTGTTTTATTTAAGTGCATATGCACGTAAAAATTACAGGACAGTGGAAGTCCACCATCAGTCATAAGGGGAAAATCCAGGCACCCTTCAATTTCTACTGGCTCTGAAAATACCATGATAATTTAGGTTTGTTAGAAACTCTCAAATTCTCCTTTCCAAAGGTTTGTTCCCTTTAAATTTCTATTGCAGTTGAATACAAGTGTAGATCCATGTAAAATAAGACTTAGCTTCACTTTGTTTTGTAGAAATCACCAACAGATAAACTTCTCGCAAGTCGGCAGTTAGTGCGTCCACTGAGTCAAACATCCAATGCACAGACCACAGAGGGAGACAAAGGACAAACAGTAAACAGAGCACAAGAACTTCACATCAGGGCCAAGTCACAGATTAATGAAGAGATGAGAAGTGAACTTCTGGGAGAAGGTAGGAATAATGCAGCTAAAAATATTTCACTTCTGATACAATGCACCTGTAAGTTAGTTTATTTGATATTTATTTTTGTTGATTTTTGTAAGGATCATGCACATTACTGGCTTATTACATTCCTCGACACATGACAAAGGTTTTCTTAGCCCAATATTTTCACAAAACTAAGGACTTTCAGGGCACGTTACCGCGGCACATTCATTTTGCCTTGTTTCTGGTCATTTTCTGACATGAAATACTTTGGTTTTTTAAAAGTGAATTGAATAATAAATTTAATTAATTTATTAGAGTTAAAAGTTAACAAGGAACCTTGCTTATTTTCCAGACAATAAGAAACACAGTCATGGAGTGCGAAACAGGTGACTGATTATCAATTATTCCACTTGCATATTACTTGTTTAGTCCCTTAGTCGCTGTAACAAATAACTCTTTATTTTCAAATCCCCCATAATCACTCTGTTTGCTCCCAATGCAACACTTGGCATAAACTATAGTCTTCAAACGGAGAACTGTGTAATTCTGTGTAAAACTTTATTTATACGCAAAGCCTCAATCGGTGATAAAATTGTTGAGGCATTTTACTCAAATAGGGTAACTTAAGAGAACAAAAGAATGTACACCCTTCCCCCCTACACAATTCAAAGTTGGGGTGTTTGTTGTTTTCTGTACATAGCTTGAACAGCAGCACAACATTGCATGGAGGGGATGGGGGAGGAAAAGCTTTATTTTCACCTTTTGAAGTCAGTAAAACCTCAGAAAGCCCCTTTAGGGCAAAGTGTCTCAACTGTGGAAACTCCAAAAATAAAAGTCAATGGAAACAAATCCCTGATAGCAAGTCAGTACGACTTTTTAAGTTTGCACTGGCGTCAACTTAATATTTTCTGGATCATGAATTGTTGGTTAGTGTTGAACAATCTACCTTTTATAGCCTGTGTTCCATCTCCTTCCCACACATTGTCTAAACCCTCAGAGTGTGTTCCATTTGAATGATCCAAATAAGGATCAGTAACTTGTGATCACTCAGAATACAGCACATCAAAGGGCCCAAAGGATTCATCAGTTCACTTGATTTACCATTGCCTAGTTTCAAATCGAGAGGTGCTGGATATGAGTCGGTTTATCATGGGCTAAACAACACAAGACCTATATAGTCAGAAAGAGCGAAATAGCAACATTCTCAAGTTTGGTGTCTATTGGGCCTATATTGAACAAAATAAATAGATGTACGGAGGATGTGACCAGCAATTCATACATGTACATCTCTTATAAAAGTGATTTTCAAGTTTACAGATAGCTGTATCTTGCTTGATATTGGCGCGATCGACACAACACTTTCATAACCTCAATGTGCTTTTTCTGACCATGTGGATCTCATGTTGTTTATCTCATAATAAACTGACTTGTACCGAGCCCCTCTCGATTTGAAACTAGCTAATGGCCGAGTGATCTCTGACCTGGATCATCTCAAAGGAACTCACCCTCAGTCCATACAGGCTGTACATGTAGTGTCTGCCATGCAGGCTACTTGTTTTTGACAATCTTTTTTCTTGAAGATTAACTGGCAACAAGAAAAGTGATGTAAATGATGAAAGCATTGACTCAGTTCTACAATACCATCAGAACTTACAAGAAAATATAGCAGAGGAAATGATAAAAATGGCTCAGCATATAAAACATACATCTGTCATGGCCAGCAACATTATTAAAGAAGATAACAAGGTTACTAGGATGTTTGTCCTTTAATAACAGTAAATAACAAATTATTGGATGAGGTCTTTTCCTGACATCTGAAACAGACTAGGTGAAGTCAATATTATTGGCTGAAGCTGATAACTCTTACTGAGACTTTGATTATTGTGAATACCGTGTTTCTTTGAATAATAGCTGTCCCTGAATTAATCGCCTCCCTTGAATAATCACCCCCCCCCCCTTTGATGGAAATGTTTTAAATAATCGCCTCCCACACCTCTATAGGTTACCCAATAGGGATAGCCATTGTGGAACTTGGAGGATGGAGCTAAAGTGGAGTCTGACTCAGCAAAAATTAATCAATTAGGAACCAAATTTGAAGCACTTTAAATGCCAATGTTCAGTTTATCTGATGTGATCATTTTTTTATTTAATGAGAAAATAGAACAAATATTTAGGGCATGACTTCTAGTCAGCAATATTTGAAATAGTCGCCTCCCTCGAATAATCGCCTTGCCTCGAATAATTGCCCCCTTTTGGTGCAAAAAAAGAAATAATTACCCCCAGCTATTATTCAAGGAAATACGGTATCCCAAAAACCAAATCCAATAAGAATTGTTTTATTATACACGGTTGTGAAGAAAATAGTGTTATGATAAACACATTGTCCTTGACTACCAAGCTTTGTGCACACAATTTGAAGGCTGTCATAAATTTGATCAGCTACCAAGGTGACCCCTGGCCTACTGTTATAAATTTAATAGAATAAAAATAGAACCAAATGAAATCTGTACCTGTTTGATTCCCTGCCTGCTTGTTTCCTGCAACTCGAAATCTTAGTGACAGCCATATAAATTTGTGTCACTAAGTTTCTTTGCTATTGTGGAGACGAATTACCCAAATTGTGGGCAAAACCACTGCCAAGAATGCAAAAAGTCCACTTTTGGTTGACGTGCATTATTCCAAACAATGTTGTTTAAAAGCTATGATAACATGGTTTTTCAAGGTTGTTAACTTGGACTTAAGTAAAGGCTTTAAAACGGCTCATATAAAGGATAATGCCTGAGCCCGAAGGCCTTGTTAAAGATAATGGCCGAGCACCTGAGGTCAATATTTTTAACAAGGCCTTGGGCCAAGGGGTATTTTTTACTGTACTTTTCCATTGGTTTAGAACCAGCAAGTCATAATTAGGATCTCTTGTTCCACCTCAGTGACCTGGGCTTTAATTTATTGAAAATAATAACTAATGTTTAAAACAATTAGAAATGTACATTAATAACAAGGCAGGCATATTTACAAATGGGTCATTAGACGAAGCTCCATGTACGGACAACAGAGTCTGAGATAAACTTTAAAAAACTTACAGCTAAATTTTCTGTTTTGTTTTTTAGACCTTGGAGCAGTCAACAAAGCTTGCAGATTCAAATTTTGAGAAACTTAAACGAGAATCAGAAAGACTTGAGGAATTAACACAGACACCATGTTCCTGGTGGATTTGGATTATGATAATTACAGTCTGTATTGTGTTTATGTGGATGATTATATTTATTAGACTTTTCCCAAAGAAGTGACTTAGTGATAACCTTAAAGCAGAACTCTTCAAACAAAAAAGGTTACAAGAACGTACAAAGATTACAATTATCTGAAAATAATATGCAGTAAAACAACTATGAAGAAGACTGTTTCAGCTTACTGTGTTTAATTTATCGAGAGTTAAAATTCTTCTGGCCCCAGTTGTTTGAAAGGTGGATAATGCTATCCATTGGATAATTATCTGTGGATAATGCAATATTTGTTTCCCTAATACTTATCCACTAGATATAGCTTTATCTATTGGATAGCACTTTCGAACGTTGGAACCAACAGGGACAGGAAACCACTTAAGTGTCAATGCATTTACCATGAAAGTACTAATAAATAACAATTATTCACCGAAGTGGAGGTGGCTAGTGATGGATATTTACCGAAGCCGCGTTAGCGGCGAGGTAAATATCCATCACTAGCCACCGACACTGAGGTGAATAATTGTTTTAGTATATACTAAAACAGTGAGATAATTGAGCCCAAAAATGATGATTTTTAACTCATTTACTGTTGCCTGCAACGATTACAATTTTGGCGCGCAATGACCGAACGGCCGCTGTCGTCGCTTTTTCTTGCCGGCAAATAAAACTTTTGAAGGCATTTGTTTAGCTCTTGCGGGGAAATTTCCTCAAAAGGAGCTGTGAATTCTTTTTGTATTTAAAATCATTCTGTAAAAAGGATTATTAGATTTAGTTTTAAGCTTATTTATGAACAAGTCAACTAAAAAAAGTAACGCAAGACTTAAACTTAATTTGCATTTGTAAACAACAAAACTTTTTCGCCGGTTTTATCGATAAATTCAAGTAAAAAAGACAAAGCTTTACCTGTGAAAACTTCCACCCCGAGCTTCGTCACTTTCTTCGTGTATTTTGGAAACAGCTTGCTTGATTAGTTGTGAAATTTCTTTGTTTGTTACGGCAGCAAACCGGGAAGGCATTTTGCAACTTACGCGAGTTTGGCGTCTCTCGCTCGGAGGAACTGGAGGTGAATCAGTGAATAGTGCAGGATATTCACTGATTGAGTAGCCAATCAGAGCGCGCGAAAAACACTATCCACTGTTTTAGTATATACTAAACGCCAATATTTTTATATCTCCTACTGGAGACATGACTGCACTGCCATTTTACTTGATCATCTGAGCCACACAAAGGTCTAGCCATCTGAAGGGCAAAGATGGTACCTTCAATTCTCAGTTATTTTTAATCCTTAGGTATTAGTCAGGGCACCTGGGAATCAAACCTGTGAAAATCCTGCAATGAAGCACTCTAGCAACTAATGGCGATTTCCAAAAGTCAGTACTAGGTGGCGGAACCATGATCGGACCAGTCAGTTTGAGAATGAAACCGTCTCTTTAATGCAAACTATTCAGGATTTGACTGACTGATCTGGCTGGATAGTTTTGACTAAAAGTGAAATTCTCATTATGATAGGAATGGTCTGGCCAGTCGGTTCTGACAAATAGAAAGCACTCTAAGTTCGTAAAACACAAAGAAAATTAAACCTAGTTAGGATAAATGAGGCTGAGGGAGGGGAGGCAAAAGTTTTAAGTAAGGAGGGGGGAGGTAGAAAAGTAAGAGGATGGACGGGTGAGGCAAGGATAAGGGAGGGAAGAGAGGGTTGAATAATTGCACAGATAAGCCATACATCCATACTCTTCCAAATGTATGGCAAATGTCTTGCAATCCCTAAATGGAAAATGACTAAATTGAGATCGCTCTCTACCATCCGAAAGTTGATGCATAAAAAATCTACTATATTCCTGCTGCCTTCACAGCATTATTCACTCAGGTAAATGTACGTCAATAAATTTTAAAATTTATTTACACTGTAGACCTTTACTATGTTGTCCACTGAAAGGAGTAAATAAGTTACCCAGCCAATTCACTTTACAGTTTCAAATAGAGAATGCAACTTGCAAGTCTCATCTCTTATTTTAATATGTGTTCCCTATTCACTATGGAACTTAATGTTAGGGAAAAAATTTACTAGTAAATGACAAAATCACGGCTTTGTGTCAAACAAATATAGACGTCTCCCAAGCAACAACAACTCACAACAAAAATGAACTTTACAGTTACTTGTTTTCTTTCGTTGCATTGCCTTTTCATGTCCAGGTGTTACGCAATCTGAGCATGCACTTGCATTCTTCACCCGTTCTGCTTTCTCTGGGTGAAGTATATAGTGCTTGTCTGAATTAACAATAATTATTCTAAGGGTTGCCAAATATTGAATTCCCTTAAGGGAGATTGTATCTTTATGTACAGAAATGGAATAAGAAGAAGATCCAGTGTAATAACATGATTAAGATAAGCTGTCAAACTCACATGAAGTTCACCTGAAAAACAAGGCTCTCATGTGTAAACATGAAGTTAAATCACACTTAAATAGATCCTACAAAAGATTAACTACAATTTCCACTCGGCTTCCAAAGTAAAAATGCATACGTTGTGGCTTAAAATGAAAAAACAAGAGAGTCAAAAGAGTATTAAGCTTCAGTCTCAGTTAAAATTGTTGGGACACTTTACTGTCTTCTTCCCGTCCCAATGTTGGTGTGCAAGATTTGGTGAGTTAACTGTGATAAACAACATTGGAAGGACCAGGAGACGGGCAAAAACTGAAAACACAGCGTTGGGTGGAAGTGTCCCAAGTATTTTTGTTGAGACCATAGTTAATAATTTACAAATTATTTCCCTCATTCATTTAGGCTATGTTCACATTTTTCCGACAGCTCTTGCGCTGACACGAAAGAACACATGTTCACACATAACTGTGATTTCGGCAAACTTGAAAGTGGATCTTCATATATCGGGTCGGTAAGTTTCTGGAATAAACCTCAAGAGCACTTGATTGAATAGGTTGTTTACCTAACAGTATTATCCACTGGATATCGCGGAATTATCCAGCAAATAGTAGAAAGCGCTATGCATCTCTTTTCAATTGGGCCTATGAAGTGGGAGACAAACTGAAAAAAACTTTCTTGACAATGTCTATGAATACAGCACCGAGAGACAAGAACGCAAAACCTTTTGCGTTAGAATTCCCTGTCTAAGGGGCTGTTTACATGAAAGGAGGAAGATCCTAGTACCAGGAAGATCCTAGAAGGCAGATCATCCTACTGTAATATGCCTTTTTCTGTATTAGGTTTACATGCAAAGGGTTGTACTTGTTCCTAGAGCTGGGATCTTCCTAGTACTTAACTAGGATCTTCCTAGCTGACAGGTAGGAAGATCCTAGCACCATGTAAACTGCCTTCGCTAGGAAGATCCTAGTACTTGGGACAAACCAGACAAAAATAGCAGCGGGTCATTTAGTGGCTAATCACGGAAATAAAGGCCGACCATTTCATTTGCGGTTACCACAAGCTGATTATGGTGATAATTGTACTGAAAGGAAGCTGTTAACGCCAGTAAAGAGAGCAGAAGGGCCCAAATTGCATGTTTGTTTTTGTCACCCGCCATTTTTAATTCCTTCTCAAACATTCTATATTTGGGTAACACACGGACCAAAATTTTTGCATGTAAACCCAACGTAAAGTTGATCCACCTTCTAGGATCTACCTTCCTCCACGTAAAGAGCCCCTAACTGGGCATTACACTGATGAACAGTTTTTTGTTAGATATATTCAGAACCAGCAACTTGCCGTCTGTTCCTTCGAATCCTTTTCTTTTAAAGCCACACTTTTACTTTGTCCTTATCTATTACTCTAAACGTCTAAAAGTCGACTTTCCGTGCGACGCCTGAGTATAATGTCATGACGCTTTTGAACCTTATTTTACTCTCCATAGAAAGTTACAGCGAGCTCAAATGTGGATAATGATCGGTATTTTAACCGGAGTTTGTTTAAGTCATATATACGACTTTTGCTTTTAGCGCAGCGGTTGTTGACTTGCAATCTCACTGTTTTCAGGGAGGAGCAATTCATCATTAAATGGTCACACAAAAATGGTAACCAGTCTTCACTTACTTCACGACGGATGTTGACTGTCAGATTGAGTTCAGTTAATGAGGTGTTTTCTGGAAAATCACCATCACGTCTATCTCGTAAAAGCAAGCCATGCTGTTTACCGTCACTGTAGTCATTTAGTGTCAGAGTGAGTGTAGTTAGCGACTTGTTTTTCGCTATACAACTTTTCAGAAAGCCTACCCACAATTCACAGCTCGACCATTCGTAATCACTGACTGTAACAGTGAGGGACGCTATTGAATTGTTCAGTGAAAGTCCTTCAATTAAAATCGTTATCGAGTAAGAATAAGTATGGGTGATGTTGTTAATCGTAATGAACAGTTCCTTTAAAGATGAGGTACTTGCTAGTCCAAAGCTGAGACCTTCTAGCCAACTCACAGGTTTTTCTATTGAATCGTCAGAAAAGCGGTTCAAGAAGGTGGCATCGTAAGGGCTATTTTCATGTTCCATGTAGTTGTTGCTTGTAAGGCAGAGTTTTGTAAGTGAATTGCATTCATCCAAACATTTTCTCAGAAATTTACCCCAAAAATAAGTTAACTCACTGCCGTTGATTACGACGGAAAGTGTAGACAAGGACCTCACTGCCATCAAATCTTCTCCAAATTTCATCTCCCCGCCACGATCGTCAATTGAGAGACTAAGGGTAGTTAACGACGTCATTTTAGCCAAGCTGTTGACCAGCCTGCATTCCCAGCCTTTTGCCATGTTACTGTAGTTGCTGATTGTAAGACTTAAAACTGTCAATGAAGAACTTCGCAGCAAACTATCCCCGAGGTCTTTCCCTATTCCTGGATTCATTGTGTAGTTGATCACTCTAAGATCCAGTGTAGTAAGCGATGTATTTTCTGCCAAAGCATCACCTAGCAGACGTGGCCAGTCACTAATTTCTTCATTGTGGTTGATTATTTTAAGATTGATACTCTCCTTTCTGGTATTCTTAACTTCAGAGAACATTGGTGTCAGCGACGCAGGATTGTCAACAGAGACAATAAGAGCATTACACGCTTCCTCAGGAACAACAGAGATGCCATGCTCTTTTACTTGAACGGTTACGTTTTTATCTGATAGTTCCTGAAGTAGGGTTCCTGTCCCCGGGGCCAACTTTCTCCAAGTATCAATGGTCAGGGCGGATAGTGTATTTTGTTGTCCGATATATCTTTTAATAACATTAGCAACACCATGACTTAATTTTCCATGCACTTTCAAGGTCAGACTTGTCAGGGGGACATGCACCAAGATCTTACATAAATCTTCTGCTCCACTACACTTCAGTTCTCCCCAAAGAACTACAGTAAAGTGTTGTTTTGTTTCTAGCCCCTTCTCGACCACAGCAGGACGAAAAAGCGCCACTTGATTACATGTAACACTGCTGCCTGGGTCTGGATCAAAAGTACAGTTAAGTGACCCCTTTTTTACCGAATGAAGCTTTTCCACAACAGACTGCCAGTTGTCAGGAATCTCTCCACAGAGAGTCAGTACTAAATCACTTAAAGAACGATTTTCTACAATACTGTTTTGAAGAGCAGTCACACTAGAGAGACTAAGGTTGCCGTCAACGCTAAAAGCCAATGCCTTGAGTGCAGTTTGTTGCGCAATTCCTCTGCTAATAACAGCAGTTACAAATTCTAGCACATCTCCAGAGATATTAAAGGAAAACGAGGCCAAAGCTTTATTTGATAAAAGCTTTCCTAAACCATGGACTGCAGTATCACTCAATGATCCACGAACCTGGAGGTCCACAGAATTCAAAGGAGTGTCCGCAGACAAAGCAAGTTCAATAGCACTGGCCCAATTCTCATCACACACTCTACCAAGTTGAAACGTTACTTTTCTCAAGGATCTGCGTGCAGCTAACAATTCACCGATTAAAACAGCTGCGTTGCAAGGGATGCTGTCAGAAATTTGTAGGGTAAACTCTGATAAAGTCGTGTTTCCAAATACGCCTTCGTGTAGCGCGTTGGCTAGGTCCATTGTAACTGCAGGGGTGAAAAGGCTAAGTTTCTGTGTCTTTGGGCAGGATTGTATGTACCCTGCAATACTCTGATATCGCCATATATCTTGCCTTCTACCACGAACCGTAAGTTTAACTGGCTTCGATAAATTACGAAAGCTTTTGCATGCCTCTAAAACGTGAAATATATTGCACGTCTCCACGCTGGAGAGGTCAGCGTCAACTTGCTGTGGGAAGGGTATATAGGAACAAAGAGTAACTGCCATTTTTTCAGCATGTCCGCTTTCATTGAAGCTTTCAGTAAGAAAAGTCGCTGTTGCCAAACCTTGTTTTAAAAGGTGCTCAAGATCATAATCAGAAAGAGGAACAAATGTCTTCATCACTACTCTGCACCTGTTCCAGTTCCATCCTTCCCGGTTCTTCAACTCTTCACCTATCTGGGCGAATAGAATGCTGGCCTCCATCCCCAGTATACCAGACACAAAAAGAAACACTTGACGATATTTATCCACCAAATCATCAAAGCTTAAACGTTCAAACAAATTCAACTGATTTCTTCGCAATTTGTGCGCAACATATGCCGCAGCCAAGTACTCTTGGAAGGTTTTGTGAAGAAAGTAGTACTCATGTTGCGGTGTTAACCTCTTCAGACTTTCTTCCTTGTAAAGTAGGCCTATATGACGGGATACTAATCCTTTGTATCTTCTTTCAAGCTCAGCTAATTCTTTCTCACGGAAACCATGACGATCACTCAGCAGGCACATCCAAGCTAGCTCTCCTAGTGCAAGTATGTCCTTCTCAAAATACCTCTCTAGGTCGTCGTCACCTTCGGGGGCTTGCAGGTTGTGTTTACCGCAGTATCGTCTTAAAAGGCAAAGGACAATAACTTGATAAAGCCTAGAACGCGATGATGGCAGCTTTCCCTCATAATCCTCATAGATTACACAGAGAAGGAGTAAATTAAGGGGGTTGCTTCGGAGAGCATGCAAAAACTCGTTGTCTTTTATTTCTGTTATGAGTCTCTCTCCCTTTGGTGAATGTCCTCGACCAATATTTGCGAAATGTTTTCTGATATATTCAAAAGCATCGCCTTCTGTGAATCCTTTGATCTCCAGATGAATGTCAAAGACGAATCTCTTTCGTACATCAATACCTCTTTCTTGTCGCGAAGTAGCCAAAACATAACAGAAAGGTAAAATTCTTCGGTGAAGCGGCTCATCCACATGATGTTGGGATTTTTCAGGCAGCTCATCCAAACCATCCAAAATGATTAAAATTTTCTCCTGGTTATGAATGTCCTCCATGAAGTGCAACAATTTCTCTACGGTCTCCTTGTTGATATCTCTGGGCAGAAGTTGTTCTCTTATGGTATCCATGATATTTCCATCAATGTCACGACATTTGAGGAGCAATACAAATTCAAATTTGGGAAAGGAACACTCCGCTGGGATTTTTCCATGAGCCCAGTCATAAGCAAGTTTGAGGCAAAACGTAGTTTTACCGATTCCGGGACTTCCCTCTACTAGCGTCATAACATCCTCACCTTTTTCAAGCGTCTTGAAGATTTCAAATACGTTCACCTGGTCATTTTCTCTCATTAAGTCTGCGTTTCTTCCTTCTGCTGGCGTCAAAACAACCTCACCTTTATCGGGAAAAGTGAAGATGTCGAACGCATTCGCCTCACTTTCGTCCACGTGCAAATCTGAACTTCCACCCGCTAGCGTTGAGATATCCGCACCTTTAAAAGGAGCATTGAAGAAGTTGAAGACATTCACTCTATCGTCTATCGTCTGGATGGCAGATTTTCGTCGTGAAACGATTACAAGTCTTGTATAGACATTCTCTAGGGGTAACTCGATGGTGTTGTCCCAAAGAAGGGGTCTTAACTGAGAGCGCCTTTTGTATTCAGCTTTGAGCAATTTCACAACCGACTTGTCCCAAACTGCTAAAAACAAAAAGATCGGGAAATATATGTCAATAAAAAAAACCTAAAAGGCCCGTTATTTAAATGGTGTTTGGCCAGTGTTTAACAAAACCGCGTTCTAAGCTATTTCTGCTTGCCAAACGTTTTTATCAAAACACCGTTTATCGCGAACAGTTTCAAAATAACGATAAAGCATAGACTATAAGGACAATTGTCTTCTTGAAATAACCCACTAAGGAAGGGATCTGGAGGTCCAAAGCTGTTTTAAACAGCGGCCTAAATTAGACTAAACCGGCCCAAAGACTTTATACTACAAACGGATAGAATAATCGTAAGGTCATTTCTATTGTTCTTGCACGTGCGCAAAGCGTAACCTTCGGGGCCGAAGGGACTGGGTTCGATACCTGCTACCTCCCATTTTCTGTTTTATAAAGCATTGTTATGACAAGGAGGATTATGACACTGATCGTTTTTGGGCTTATTAAAATGGTTAAAGGATATTATGTTTGGCCAGATTAATTTAAAATTAACTTTTTAATTAATTTTCCCACGGATAACGCACGGCAAACATACTGGCAATAGAAAACAAACGAATTGACAAAAACAAGGTACGCTGAGTGAAACAAACTATTACATAATTTAAATTTTCTCTTTGGAAAATAATTGTTCTCGTAGCACACGGCGTTAAACGTTCGTGCTTCGGACCATAGGAACCCGTCATTGCCCCTTATTTCGTACAGACTATTCATTGCCAGTAAGCTCATGTCCCGTCAAAGGAAAACTGTGTGGCATACACTCTCTTGTAAAAACATATCACTTTTAAGGTTCATTTCTTAAAAAATAATGTACAAATCATCTGCGTTCCAAAACGAAACTGACATCGATCTCAACTTTCTGACAAGTGATTGGTTTGTTCATTACACCGCAAACACAAAGGTTAAGGAATGTGTTTCGATTTTCAGCAGCCGAGCATCTCACGCAGATCTTCCTAGGGTGTGACGAAGCCCTGAGAAGGTGTGCGTGGGAGGCCGATCTGACTGACAAGAGGCTAGCGATAAATAGTTAGTTTCTTACGGTGAAAGTAACGTGACAAAAGGATAAAATGTGACCTAAATGTGGCCTTGTTTTACTTGTACCTTACACTAAGCATATCGTGTTACAAAGCATGCTAGAAAAAAAGGGAGTGTGTCAGACGTGAGTATCTCAAGATTTTCTGTCAGTGTAACCGAAGCCACGAAACTATAGCTTCATGATGTCCAGCTAGAAAAGGGGACCCAAATAATAAGGCCACTGTCCTGTGCAGCAGAGGAAAGTAACCCAGGCGCAAATGCTTTATTTCAGGAGTCCTTTTGTTTAGGCGATAGGGCTGCGAGAAGAATGGGATTGAGCCAAGTTGAGCGGGCAGGAAGTAATGTCACACTCTTATTTCGTAAGCTATGCAGCTTATGAAGCCGCATTTTAGAAAAACGAGACCAACGACCCAAGACCATCCTAAACTCTCTCATACGTACGTAACGTCATACCAACTCTTACTCTTAATAACCCGGAAACGAACTTTACCTTCCTCTTTCAACAGTTTCGGTTGTTTTGGAGCGGGAACAGGACATGAAGATAACGGCCTTTTTCCTTTTCTCAAAGACCTGGATCTCTTTGCTGTCTTTCCTTCGCCTGCAATTTAATCAGTCATTACTATCACACAATGCTCCTGTGGTGTTATGAAGAGGATATCAAACTAGTTATTATTGTAGAACACTACCCACAATAATATTTTTGGCGATTTTATAAGTCATAGCATTACATCTTGACCAAGTTGGCCCAATATTTTTCAGTTACTATCTATGTCCATCTTTGCCATCCGTAGTAACAGACGACGGGAAAAAATTTCAGTGCCTAAATATAGAATTAAATAACAAAACTGGGGCATTATTTTTGGTATTCAACTGAAGAAGAAACGTTTTAACGTTTTGAAAAGATAGCATATAGCGTAACGTAGCCCCTTTAAGCTTATGTCTAAATAACTGTGCCAAGAGATATTTTGCCAATCAACTGAGAGGCCATTATTTTTTAATGATAAAAAAGTATCGTAACGGTACATAAACTAACCATTAATCCCGAAAACTGCTTCAAACAGAGGAAATAATTTGAGGGCAGATAGTCCAGCAAAAATTATAGTGACTCAATACATTTCTTCAGCCCTCCGACTGACAGTGGTAATTTTAGGGATTTCGAGGATTCATGAGCTGCGTACATGCGAAAAAGTATATCCGTTATTAATTACTGCATTTCCATTATCGCGTAAAAATTATCCACCTTTAAGTTAGTAATTAGAAAAATTAAACAAATAGACTAGACTTACGTGATACAGCCCCTTTACAGGCAGGGACAGAGCTTACTTAAAACTCAACAGACAAAGCTCGCCTGTGAAGGGGTTAAGAAATATTTCACCCCTCTTGTAAAACCTGAAATGAATCTCGTTTGTCAACAACTGGCGAAGGTAATCTCTCACAATGATATCGAATTTGGACTCTTTTTAAACATTAGTCTTGTTCAGTGCTTTTTAACATTCCTTGATACTGCATGTACCATCCTGGCAAGTAAAACTCAATAAGCCCTTATTAGAGTACAGTACATTTTCTACAAGAAAAACAAAGATTTGCTCTTGATTGTTCATCTATGATTCAAGAATACCTTTATGAAGACGTTTTTCAGAAGAAGAGGGTTTTTCAACTTGACAGATGACAGCGGTTTTCTTAGATAAATGCTGCTCATCTGTATTGGGACCTACAAAACGATTAGAAACACAATTTTCTTATTCTTTACTTCAAAGCATCAGGTACGGTACAGTTAATTATTACTATTTAAACATCGTCAACTATAACAAAAATAATAAGTTAACTTGTTACAGTTAATTTTAGAAATCAGCGCAACCGATTAGTTAGCTATCTCCTGGCAGAATAGTGAGTTGTGTAGGTTATCGCGAGCACAATGCATGCTTTCAGGCGATGCTGTGTCTGTCCTTCATTTTTTTGAAAACAACGTATAATAAAACAATTATAAGATTCGGTTTTCGTGGTATCCGGAAAAATCAAGGTCTCGGTAAGTGTTATCAGCCTTGGCTTTCCGCTCAGCTGATAACACTTTTCTCGACCTTGATTATTCCGGACACCACGAAAACCAGTTTACAATGTAAACATGTTACCTTGAGAAATGGCAAGCATTCGTTCTACAAGTCCATTACAGTGATCCTGCCAGCTGTACATCTCAGCGTACTCTCCTTGAAGAAGCTTCGCCTCTCTCAGTCGCAGCTTCCGTTTTTTCTCCCGAACAGCTCTTATTTCTTTGGCCCAATCTTTTGGATCTTCTGACTTCACCACACAACTTGAACCATACGGAACTTCCTTTAAGGCCTCGCCAACACCAGAGTTCCCACTGACCAACACAGGCAGACCAGCAGATAAAGCCTCAAGGGCGGCTAGACCAAAGCCCTCAGTTCGTGATGGCATTATAACAAGATCTACTTCACAAAACAAATGGGCTAACTGCTCTCTGCTTTCATTAAAACAACGCACAGTTAGTTTGCTGCGATCAATGCCTTGCTTAAGTAATAAATCTTTTACTTTCTCCTCTTCTCCACTTGGAGCTCCAACAAACAAGAGCTTATAGGGCTGTGGCTCGTCTTTCAACTCAGCAATAGCGCGAGCAGCGATGTCATATCCTTTCAGCTGAAAGTCTTCATTATCACCACGTCCAAATACTAAAACACTGAATGTTTTCCTTTCTTCAGTGGCTTGCTTTACATCAGAAAACTCAGAGAAGATGCCTGGGGTAAGGTTGAGAACATCTTGATCTTTTCCACAGGCACGGAGATAACCTGAGAAAGCTTCAGCCAGCTTGGGACCAACTGCTACAACTTGATCAGCTTTTTCACAGAGTTTTACCTCAGCCTGGTGCTTTTTCT